GATGACACATACATAGGCAGAACTCGCAGATTCATGCAAATAAGGACCTCAGAGCATATTTCAAAGTGGGTTCAGAAGCAAATTAAATCATATGAACCCATAAACATTGGTAACAAACATCCATGTCCTTCAATCACGTGATATATCGTCAAGACAGGTTACACGATTGACTTGGCTACGTTCTCTAGACCTATTTACTGAACGTGTTGCGGATGGATCCTTCGATTTCCTATTCCTTTCGCTCTGTGTTTATGAATCTCCATATAAATACCTATAAGTAGTACATGTGTGGTCAAGTTTTTCTGAAATAATTTATTATGAATATATTGGTAATGTTTATACACAATAATGTTATTTTCGAATAAATTATTCTAACAAGTGATGTAATCATGGGCAGTAGCTTTGCTAGAAATATTACCAAGACTAAATAACATCATTGTGTGTAAACATTAATAAATACATTCATAGTAAATTATTTTAAAAAACATGAGCTACATTCTTCATTGCCCATGCACGTAAGACCCTCTGTCAAAGGGAATCAACACACTAAACATATTAAGTGAAAGAAACTATCACTCTAGAGAAAAGATGAACAAAAGTAGACAGCAAGATCCTCATTAAGGTTTTCAAGAGCTTAACAGTTATTATTATTATTACTTGGGTTCCTGGTGAAACCTAGGGCTTCAGTAGCACGTCTCCATTTCACTCTGTTCTCTCCAGTCTTTTCAACCTAGCTCCACCACTACCCACAAGCTTTCAATTCTTCCTCGCACGATCTCCTCCATGTCACCCTCGTCTAGGACGCCCAACTCGTCCTTTCCCATTTGGATTCCATTTGAGGATCTGGCGCGTGATGTCCTCAGTCGGCCTTCTCAGTGTATGCTTCATCCATTTCCACTCTCTTCTGCATATTCGTTGGGCGATATGTTCTTGGTTGGTTCGTTACCAGAGTGAGTTCCTTGTTACTTATTCTTTGTGGCCAGCTGATCTTCAGTATTGAGCATAAGCAGCTGTTGATGAATGTCTGTAGTTTACTGGAAATACTTCTCGTAATGGGCCATGTCTCTCAACCATGACACCTAAGCACTGGCTTGAAAATCCGGATCTTGTTCTGCATGCTGAGTGCAGTATGATGAAGTGCAGTAGATCTCCACACTGATTTCAGATTAATGAAAGCCTGTCTTGATGTCTTTTCGACCCTGGCTTTGACATCCTCATCTGTGCCTGTGCCGCCTGTAGTTGAAACAGTGCTGCCTAGATAGGTGAAGGAGGCTACTTCCTTTAGGTTTATACTGTTCATGGTGATTGGAGCCTGTTGTTGATGCTGTTGTTTGTTGGGTATCTTCATCACCTCAACCTCTGTCTTCTCTACGTTCACTTGAAGGAGGTCCCGTCCTCGCTGCCACTTCTGTCAACTTGTTGGTTTTTGTCTGCAGATCTCCGAGTTTGTGAGATATTAGGCACAAATCATCGGTGAAATCCAAATCTTCTAGGGCCTTTTCATCGGTCTAGCTAGCGTTTGCCCATCGTCTTGCTCCTCACGGTTTGCTGCATGGTCCAGACCAGTCCAGTCGATCACAATCAGAAAGATCATGAGTTACAGTAGGCGGCAATCTTGTCTTACTCCTCCCTGTCTTCACTTCAATAACGTCACTGAGCTTTCCATTGTGCTGTGAATTACTCGGCATGTGGTGACTTCATATAGTTGTTGAATGAAGTTGATAAGGGTTTGTGGTATTCCGTAGTGTTGAAGCAGCAGCTGGCAAAATAACTTCTCAGTCGACGCTGTTGAAGGCCTTTTCAAAGTCAATAAAATTGAGGTAGAGAGATGACCGCCATTCTATGCTCTCTTCTACGATGATAAGTAGCGTAGCGTTGCAATTCGATCCGCACATCATTTGTTCTTCCTGAAGCCAGCCAACCTCTTCAGGTCGTAATTTTGAATCCAGCGCATCTTTTAGGCTCTCCAGGATGATGCGTCATAGTATTTCACTTCGTGGGGACAGCAGCATGATTCCTCGCGAGTTCGTGCAAAGACTTAGATCTCCCTCTTTGAGAGTTTGAAAGGTAGCCCCTCTTCCAATCAATGGAGAGTGACCTTTCCTTCCTTCCAAACCTTCTGCAATAGTGATGTAAACAGGTCCGCTGTTGTCTCTGCGTCTGTTTTCAGTGCCTCTGGTGGAATTCCATGTAGTCATGCTGCTTTCCCAGATTTCACTAACTTTATGGCCTTCAGGACTTCACTTCTGCTATTGTTGGAGGGATTGTGTTCACTGGTAATTCTGTGGATGGGCTGCTGGTGGTATTTCCGGACGAGTTACAGGTGATGATGGTGGACTCAAGAGTTTTTCTGAAGTGGTCAGCCTATTGCTTCCTTTGTTTCGCCTCTTTGGTAACCAGGTTTCCTTCACTGTCCCTCATTGATTTCCTCTGCGTTGATCTCTTTCTAGGTAGTACTTTGATTATTTGATAAAGTGTTTTCGAGTCTCTGACTCTCCTACCTGCAAGCTGTTCTGCTTCACTTGCCGACGTATCATAGAAGTGTCTTCTGTCTTTCCGCGCACTCTTCTTCACTTCTTTGTCCAATGTAGTGTTTTACACGTCGTACTCAGTTCATCTCTTTGTTGTCCATCTCTGCACTACACTACACTACACTACACAACACTGCTCTGGTTGTTCTCCTGCTTCACCAACTCCATCTTCCCCCCAACCTTGTATAGCAGCTTCCATGTGTCCATCGAGATCCATTCCATTCAGTTCCTTGTCCAGTCTTATTAGTTCTTCCTTCATAACACGGTTATGCAAGTTTCGTCCCACATAACCTTCAAAGAGTTCCAGTGTTCCTCCACACAGGTTTCTTCAGCGATGTTGCTCAATGTCTCCATTTCGTCACGATGACTGGCTGACGTGAAAATGTCATTTGTAGTCTCGTTATTCACTTCCTCTTCTGAATGTTCAACTTCAACTATGCTCTATCATCAACCTCTGTGAGGGCTTTCAACTGGATTTTGAAGGTGGCTTCCTTGCACTAGATAGGCAGTAGTGGTGTGAACCACCTACATCTGCTCCCCCTCTTCACCTGATCTTGTGTCCAGTAGGTTGACTACATCTCCACTCTCTTCACATTGAGGTGGAGTCGATCTCATTTTTAGTGTAATATGTCCTAGTGTCTGGAGAAATCAAATCCATGTTGCTCACTTTGTCAATATCCTTGTGTTTGTGCACACTGCCTCACTCCAATCACCAAATCGTTGAATGCACAGAAATCTGCAAACAGTTCTCCATCCTCATTCATCATTTCACCGAGTGCTTCTCCACCCATGATGATCAGTTTCCTTCCTGTGTTGGCCTCTCCCAGTTTGTCATTCATGTCACCCAACCCATTACAACTAATTTTGATGTCACCAGTTGGAGTGGGGTCGTGTTCAGTACCGATTGCAATTGTCTGTAGAATTCCTCCTTCTTCTCTCCATCTGCATTATTTGTAGGTGTGTAGTATTGGCACTGTATGATCGTGAATTTCCCTCCTTCCGAGCTCAATTCATCTTGCTGTCATGATCCTGATCATGCAGGATTAGGAGATTGGTTCCCACTGCATGACAGAGAGCCTTCAATCCTGTTGGGACATCATGATGGCCACCCTATGAATGTGCTTGTGGTTGTTGTCTGGGTGACAATATTGGAGTAGATGATTGACTCTCCAGTTGACAGTTTGGAGAGTCCACTTCCATTCCATCTGCTCATCCCTCACAGATTCCTACCACTTCCATGCTATCCATACCTTCTCATCTCTTCAGTAATCTGGTCAGCCTTGCCAGTCAGCCAGCTTCAAACATTGTTTGGACATTCCTTGTCCTCATGTTTACTTTTGATTTCATTGAGAGAGAGAGAGAGAGAAGACAGATCGGCTGGTTGGCTTCCTGAATGCTTTCACCAACCGGTGTCATTTCACCTCTCCGATTCCAATGAGGAAGAAGTTTACTTTTATTTTTTATGTTTTCTTTGTGTTTTGAAGTTTGTTTGGCGATTGGATTGGTTTTGTGGTGTAGGGTTACTAGACGTATGCCTAAACTTCCCTCTTTATCGAGGCTTAGGACTGGCTAGTAACTAGGCGATGTTACCATGCCGCTATAAAATTGTATGGTATTTAATATCGAAATAACGATTGCATGATTTGGTGAACTTTATTCTTATACACCTATATGGTTTAAATTATAAGTGACTGCTTTCGATTCCAAAGAGGTACCTAGCTCAAGATGCACTTGTATTAGTTTGATCGGCTTCGAATAGGATGTAATGTGTATCCTGGACCATCCTACTAATTGGATAGAATACGAAAAGATAAATATATGGATAACAAAAATATCATATAGTACAACAACTAGTTTAACTTCACTTGATATATTTGAAGTTTATACCCTTGACTTGTATTTAAGGATGGACAGTGTCTAGCTGTGGTATCCGAGATGTATGAATCATCCTAGTCGGAACTTGTCAACTGTATGCACTTGAATGCCATCAATTCAATTCAGATCAATCAGAAACTGAAAATAAAACGTCTTAATATATTAAATTTCTTGCAAACTGGGATCAATGACGTGAACCTGGTGCTAAAAAGAACCCTAAGTTAAGTCCTACCTACCTCAGCATAAGCATTATATCCCAACCTATGATGGATAAAAAGCAATCAATATCGGAATCCATGAAGTAATCATGTAAAAACTGATCTTTATACTTCAGTGTAACTAGGAAGTAGTAAACAGATATTAACCAATGTTGTAGTCTGTTTAGCGGCTAATGGTAGAATCAAAGAGGCACTTTTCTTCCATTCTGGAACTCATCTGCTAACGGTACCCGTACCCACTAAGACTCGAACGTAGTACCCATTACTTTGAACGCCAACGCGTTAGCCACTATGCTCGTAGAGGTGGGGCAGTTTGACCCAGTGTAGGGAAATTACGGATATCGAATAGATACCTACCAGAATTACTTTCACTTACCTTGGACCACGTAGTCGAGTAATATTTGAATAACGTGGCATAAAATCTGTCAATGCTGCTACAGAACTAACAATCCATCTGTTTGTCCCACCACAATCATAATAAGGACGAGTAAAACGAACAGGTAGAAATGTCTCCTTCACACCTGGTGCATTTGGACCATAGAATTTTACATTTTCCAACTCTTCTATAGGATCTCCAGTGATAGTGGCAAGTTGAATTTTTGTAGTGTATTGATTTTTACTGGGTGCTGTACCACGTCTATCTGGAATAAAATCAATACCCATTTCACGATCACGTATATAAGGATTATTCTTATACCATGATGCTGTGTAGTTGTTATTTGGTCCAGCTCCAAGATCAGTGATCTGTTTTTACATAAATTTTAAAACCAACAAGAAAATTGAACCAGAGTTTAAACGCAAATTCAAAATGTATACAGTATAAACCATAAGTTACGATTATCTCTACTGATATGTGCCTCATTAACTACTTCCCAATGTTACTAACAAAAAGAAGTATTAATTATTTAGGTGATCTGTAGAAAATTGATTGATTCGAGTGTTTAGAGAAGTGGTTGTTTAAACTAACCGCTTGACCTTGAAGTAATGCGTCACAGATTAAAATTATGCCTTACCTCCCGAAGAAGGGCGACTTAAGTCTTTGCAACAACTGGTGCGGAATCATGCTCCACCTCTGTCTACCCAAGCAAAATATTAAGCCGCATCATCCTGGAGAGACTAAAGGATGCACTAGATTCAAAACTACGACCGCAACAGGCTGGCTGGCTGGCTGGATTCAGGAAGTACATATCATGTGCGGACCAAATTGCTACGCTACGCTTCGCATCATGATAGGACAGAGTATAGAATGGCAGTCAACTTAACTCAACCTAAACTTCATCGACTTTGGAAAGGCCTTCGACAGCGTCGACCGAGAAGTAACTTGGCAACTGATTCAATACTATGGAATAGCACAAACCTTTATCGACCTCATTCAACAACTATATGAAGACGCCACATGCCAAGTAATTCACAGTGGGAAGCTCAGCTCAGTGATGCTTTTGAAGTGAAGACAGGAATAAAACAAGGCTGCCTACTACCACCCATGATATTCCTGATTGTCGTTGATTGGATCATGCAACAAGCAGTGGGGAGCTGTGAGAAGAGGGGGGATACGCTGGACCGTGGAATAGACCCTGGAAGGAGATTTGGATTTCGCCGATGACTTGTGTCTAATGTCGCACAAACTCGAAGATCGACAGGCGAAAACTAACAAGTTGACAGAAGAGGCAGGGCAGCGAAGACGGACTTCAAGTGAACGTAGAGAAGACAGAGGTGATGATGATACCCAATCAACGCCACCACTAACAATAACAAGCTCCAATCACCATCAACGGGAGAAACCCATAGGAAGTAGTCTCTTTCACCTACCTGCCTACCTAGGCAGCATCGTTTAAACTACAGGTGGCACAGGCACAAACGAGGACGTCAAAGCCAGGATCGGAAAAGCAAGACAGGCGTCGACTAACCTGAAACCAGTGTGAAGATCTTCTGCACTCAGCATAAAGAACAAGATCTAGATTTTCAACACTAATATCAAGTCAGTGATTCTACATGGTTCAGAAACCTGGCTCGTTACGAAAAGCACTTCCAACAAACCACAGATATTCATCAACAGCTGCCACCTACGCTCACTCAATATTGAAGGTCAGATAGCCAGAATAACAAGAATAAGCAAGGAGGAACTCTGGCTGGCTGGCAACGAACCAACCAAGAACCTATCACTCAACAAATATGCAGAAGGAAGTGGGGGTGCACTGAGGAGACCATTCGGGGACATCATGCATCAGACCAGGTACTCGAGTGGAACCCAGAGGGGAAATGACGAGTTGGATGTCCGAGGCGAGGGTGACATGGAGGAGATCATCATGTGAGGAAGAAATGAGATCTTCTGGGCTGTCGTGGAGCCAGGTTGAAAAGATTGCAGAGAACAAAGTGGAATACAGGTGTGCTACTGAAGCCCTATGTTCCTCTAGGAACCCATGGGACAAATAATAATAGTAATATAATTAGGTTTTGGCAGCCTGAAGTTGTCACATTCACCGCAGAGTAGATTTTGCTCACTGACTAATAAACGAAACTACAGGTAGGTGTTAATTTAAATTATTTGCTTCTACAATACTTACCTTCACTGAAACTGGAGACAATGAGTACCTATTATGTTCTATATTGTGACTGGTTGGCAGTATACACTTGAAGTTACACTGGATCCAACCAAGAATCTTAAGGTTTTATAGTCAGTATGAAATAAACTTTCTCAAGTAATCAATGGAAACTATAAGCCGTAGAGTATGTACTGCAGAGTGAAGAGATATTTTCGTTTTTTTTTTCAGTACAGTAAACTGCCTTCTAAAATATAACCAACATTGTATATGTCATGGATAAACCTTTGAATACTAAATTTCTTTCGGCATTATGTGAACTGTTGACTCGAGGCTTTAATACAATGTAGTATTGTTACGATTGTTAAGATTACATATTCATCGGAAAATATATTCTAACACGCTTAATTCTTCATGAGTACTCTCGCATCTGTCCTCATGTTTTGCATTCTGTTCCCTTTAATTAAGATATCATGAGCTTACTAGTAGTTTTTGATATCATAAATTGTAAAGCATTGAGTCTGACTGGACTGAATCAATCGGCCACAATCGGTATGCAAACTCATGTGTGGATGCCTTGACATTTAGTTTCAACAGTGATGGTGGATAATGTCTAGCAGATTTTCAAGCTATAACATCAAAAACTATATTATACTTGTAGTAAAAGGAGTGGCTTTTGAGACTCAGTGGTCTACTGGGCAATAGTCAGGCATTTGAAACAATCAATTCTGGGCTCTAGGCACTAGGAGCCAGATATACTCAGCTAACGAGTCAAAAACTGGACAGAAAGCGCGTCATGGATCCCACTGTTACCTACTAACTATAATCAGCTTCGATTAATTTATGTAATCATGTTCTACAGGAGGTTAATCGTGACATAAATAGCTTAATAGTAACCTGGCTGACTTCAAGACATTGAGTGACTCAGGTTCGAATGTCCAAAGTTGCGCATACACATTACTGATGAGTGCCAACAAGTGCGAAACCTGGATACGATAAGACTTCGTGCTAATTACCTTCAACCAACTAAATTAGAAAGAACCCAATCGAATTCAAATAATCATTAATACATATAATGATATTTGACAATGAACTCACTTCAATTGTATTATTAGTTGGTACTCTTAAAAAATTCATTTCATCATTCCAATTATCTAATCGTCTAGCTAATGGTCCAAATAATGGTAATGTTCTATTGATATCCTTTAATTCATACCAATTTGCATATGTTGTATTCGTATCCATAAATACTCCACTAGTATTCATAACATTTGGTCCAGAGGAGATATCAGCTGCAGCTGACATATAATAATACATTAATGAAGGTAAATGTTGTGGATCTTTAGTTGGATGATCTAATCGTTGTAATATATAACTATAGAAAAATGCTCGATTCAATGCTAAATTATGTAAATGTAATAATTTTGAACGATTTGTAAACCATTGTCTTAATGGAATTTCATTATATTGAGGTAATTGACTAAGTGATGTTGGTGGTAGACGTAAATCAGCTTCAGACATTGTTTCACAATTATTTGGATTAGCTTGATCCATTTTATGTGAGATAATATCAAAATTATCATGTTTAAACCAATGAAATGGATTTGAACTGTCATCATCAATAGTATTTTGTGCAATAATTAAATATTCTTGTCGAATAAACAAGATCATACTGATTAGTATGAAAAGATTAAAATTTAGCATATTTAAATTATAGTAACCTTTATTTTCAACAAATCTGAAAAGAGAAGAAGGAAAGATGGTTAATATAGATGTAATACTTCGGAACTTTGGTACAATTTAATTCCATATTACATTTGTTTATTTGATATATAACATACATTGAATGATACAATATTATTGAATGGATGACGTTTCGAGCATAAATTATCATTGCTCATAGTCTTATCAATGTAATCATAGCACCGTCGAAATCTGATTTTTATACTCCTGTCACCTCATATAAGTGTTGTTCTTATTGGTAGTAAAGTTTTCGATATCTCTGGTATAGATGTTGCGTTATTTCTGTTACTTGTATTGGGTGTTGGTTGATTCGATGAACAAAGATTCAGTAATCGATCTCTAGCTTCACCTAATTATATTGGATTTAAGTACAATGGTTTCATCCCATCAAGGCTATTGTATGGTTGTGTGTCAGTGCATGCAACGCATTGCAATAGCCGAGGTTCTCTTCTAGATTACTGATCTTATTGAGGTCTGTTATTCTATATTTAGATAAATTCCTATGTTCGGCTATTCTAACTAACACCAACTGGCTGACTATTTTGATCTATATACTTAACATGACTCACAGTCATCACATGGAATTTTATAGATTAGATTATTGGCTTAATTGGTTCTATCGGATCCTTAAGTCACCCGACAAAGCCTATCTCTGAGTAAGTTTGCGGTTCTAAATGCCACCCCAATTGCAGCTTTGTTGAAGATCCTAAGTGGAGTTTCTCTTGTACTTTCCTTATTCGGTAAAGAAGCGCTAATAATTAACAATTAGTGCTGAAAAAAATTGCAAACCTCGACTGGTTAAACAGTTCACTAGTTACTAGCCAGTCCTAAGCCTCGATAAAGAGGGAAGTTTAGGCATAAGGCTAGTAACCCTACACCGTAGAAACAATCCAATCCCTAAACAAACTTCAAAGCACAAAGAAAACATAAAAAATAAAAGTAAACTTCTTCCTCATTGGAATCGGAGAGGTGAAATGACACCGGTTGGTGAAAGCATTCAGGAAGCCAACCGGCCGATCTATTTTCTCCCTCTCTCTCTCTCTCTCTCTCAATGAAATCAAAAGTAAACATGAGGACAAGGAATGTCCAAACAATGTTTGAAGCTGGCTGACTGGCAAGGCTGACCAGATTACTGAAGAGATGAGAAGGTATGGATAGCATGGAAGTGGTAGGAATCTGTGAGGGATGAGCAGATGGAATGGAAGTGGACTCTCCAAACTGTCAACTGGAGAGTCAATCATCTACTCCAATATTGTCACCCAGACAACAACCACAAGCACATTCATAGGGTGGCCATCATGATGTCCCAACAGGATTGAAGGCTCTCTGTCATGCAGTGGGAACCAATCTCCTAATCCTGCATGATCAGGATCATGACAGCAAGATGAATTGAGCTCGGAAGGAGGGAAATTCACGATCATACAGTGCCAATACTACACACCTACAAATAATGCAGATGGAGAGAAGAAGGAGGAATTCTACAGACAATTGCAATCGGTACTGAACACGACCCCACTCCAACTGGTGACATCAAAATTAGTTGTAATGGGTTGGGTGACATGAATGACAAACTGGGAGAGGCCAACACAGGAAGGAAACTGATCATCATGAGTGGAGAAGCACTCGGTGAAATGATGAATGAGGATGGAGAACTGTTTGCAGATTTCTGTGCATTCAACGATTTGGTGATTGGAGTGAGGCAGTGTGCACAAACACAAGGATATTGACAAAGTGAGCAACATGGATTTGATTTCTCCAGACACTAGGACATATTACACTAAAAATGAGATCGACTCCACCTCAATGTGAAGAGAGTGGAGATGTAGTCAACCTACTGGACACAAGATCAGGTGAAGAGGGGGAGCAGATGTAGGTGGTTCACACCACTACTGCCTATCTAGTGCAAGGAAGCCACCTTCAAAATCCAGTTGAAAGCCTTTACAGAGGTTGATGATAGAGCATAGTTGAAGTTGAACATTCAGAAGAGGAAGTGAATAACGAGACTACAAATGACATTTTCACGTCAGCCAGTCATCGTGACGAAATGGAGACATTGAGCAACATCACTGAAGAAACCTGTGTGGAGGAACACTGGAATTCTTTGAAAGCTTTGTGAAAAGAAACAAGAGGAATAATACGGATATTATTTGATGGTTTTACTACTGTAGATAATACCATCCTTCACAGTAGGTACCTCTGAATACGATCACTCTGTAATTTATGATGATTCCAAGTTGGTTAACGAGTGTCAATAACATTGTGTTATAAGGCATAAATGAATCTTTTGGATGGAGATTTCGTTATGATACAAATGATTCTACCCTTCTTCAACGGAATTATTCCAAAAGAAAAGCAAATTGACCCCTAGTTACTGTTATTTCAAATATTTGAATACGGTACTACGAGGCTATCATTTGTATAGTAAAGTGAAAGATGAAAACTATGTCTTGGAGCACATTTATCTAGTTGAGATCATCTATTCGACTCACTGTACTGACATTTAGACTTTTCTAGATGCTAGTTAAAACAGGAGGATATTCACCGGTCACCGACAGACGACTTTCAACGCAGATTTGATAAGAAGTTAGCTCAGAAATGAATTAAGTTATGCTTATAATGATGAGTTATTGAATGACATCGAATGTTATTTTTTTGTGGTCCTAAATATGGCCTCTAGTCGACCCATCACAAAAGAAGTGTCACCTGAAGTATTCATGGCAGACAACATACAGTTAAACATGATTAGGAAAATTGATTGATATAACCGATCATATCACTTATTTGAACTGGGACTTGGTTGTTTCGTTGCTAGCCAGCCAGCAAGAGTTCCTTGTTGCTTATCCTTATGATTCTGGCCATCCATCCGGTCCATCTTAAGTATCGAGTGAGCGTAGGTGGCAGCTATCATTGTATGTCAGCAGTTTACTGGAAATGCTTTTCGTAACGCGCTAAGTCCCTCAACCATCACACAAAAGCACTGACCTGACTGACATTAGTGTTGAAAGTCCGGATCTTGTTCTTTATGCTGAGTTCAGTGTGGTGCAGTGCAGTAGATCTTCACACTGATATCAGATTAACGAAGGTTGTTCTTGCTGTCCTTCCGATCCTGGCTTTGACATCATCATCTGTGTCCGTACAGCCTGTAGTTGAGAGGTAGGTGAAAGAAACAACTTCCTTTAGATTTTTCCCGTTCATGGTGACTGGTGCTTCTTGTTATTGGTTGGGTATCTTCACAACCTCTATCTTCTCTACGTTTATCTGAAGTCCCATCTTTGCTAAATGCAGTAGCATATACTAAAATATTCATCCCAACATATAGTTATATGCAATACACAACCAATGACATTCAAATAACGATTATCCTTTTTCTGTCACATTAAAATACACTATATAAACATTCCAAAATACTTAGATTTGAACTTTGGATAAAACAAGTTTATTTCTCCTGAAGAAACTGGGATTAGTATATTAACAATTGGAAACTTCGGTTTTCTTCATAAATTGTGTCAAATGACCTCCGTTTACCAATTGCGATTTGGTGAACAAAGAATGTCTCTGGATAACTTCTTTTTAAGGTTCTATAGTTACATATCTGTATTGTTTAATCAGAACAAAATGCGTGTTAATAACAAGAATTTATATTACAGTCGGTAATTAACACAAGTCAAAAGAACCAATAACTTAGGTGATGAAATGACATGAGTGGTCAAAATCCCATACGGTTATCGATTTCAAAGCTGGCCAAGGTAGTAGTAATGACTGAAGTTGTTTCCTCTTTTGCAAGCATAATCTACGGTGTAGAAGCCGAATTGATTCAACTTTCGCTATTTCAAGTAGTTTTTATCTTGTAGTTAGTGAGAAAACAGTAAATGCCTGAAAATGATTGATTCTTATTTGTCTTGATTGGTCAGGTTAGAATGCAGAGAATCTCTATTTTGACTCATTGATAGGTTGGCAGACTTTAGGGGTAGTATTTCATGAGTTGAAAACTTGAAAATATAGTAAATTCAACAAAACGGAGTATGTTAAAACTTTTAAACTAATATGTTCAAAGGTTTTTAGCTTCCTTGATGGTTGTTCTAAATTTTTGCTTAAGTCTAACACCCGACAATTTCATCTTACCACCTTAGGATGAACAAGCTCACCAAAACATGTTCTGAATATCTACACATAATAATATATGAAGTACTGGCCATGAAAGCCAAACTAGTTGGTGGGTCAGGTCACAGTAATTGTTACTTATCTGCTGATCAACAGTGGCAGGGAAGGAATTAGTAAAATTTTATTTACAGTACTTATTATCACTAGCCTGCATTCATATCGACAGGATCAGATAGGTCAAGCTTGCCATGCAAAAGAAGTGAAAAGATTTTAGGCCAAGACTTAAGCCATACTCCTCTTCAAATACGAACTCAATACAGCCAGGTCGTATAGTTTAGTGGTTTTAATTAGTTGGTGATGAGATAAGAGAAGCTTTGAGTACGTTTTGGGATGTAATACATTTGTGATGAATATCATAGAAAGCAACATAAAATAGTAGGCAGGAAGTTAAGTAAACAAAAAAATGAAGGAGTCTGTCTCTTCTTGAGTGGTGTTTCGCAGATTTTCCCATATAGCTGCGGAGGGGGTTGAATCCACCGCAGTTAAATCCATAAAAAGAAAAAGACTTTCGAAGGACTTACTGTCAAAAATAATATGTTATTTTCGGGATATAAGCATCAAAGAACGAAACAGTCTTTTATGACAAGAAAGAGTGTTTGTTATGTATCAGACTGTTCTTTTAGGTAAGCCTAAAGCATGACAATCTGAACACTTTGCCAAACCTCAAAACTCTTCTGACATAAAATGAACCTCTCAGGCTAGTAAACATTTTTGAGTGTAAAAAGAATGAAGCAAAATGAGAGGTTTTTCAAGATAGTCTCCTGCCTTGCTCCGCATTCTTTTAGCCCTACATTTCGCCCTGCTTATCTGGTCTGGCGTTTTTAGTTTAGTCAGATATTATTTTACATGGTATAGCCCTAAATTACTGGACTTATATGACTTCATAAACCTAAGGTAAAATCTGCAGTAATAAAACAGGGAGCAAGACTATTTCTGGTGCTTTTATGATATCCTCAGGTAAATTTTGGTGAAAACGGTAAAAGCCTTTGGTCGGTATGGTGAAAATAGCATTTCCACATCTAATAAGTCTATTGTGCATACTCAACATCTACCTCTTGGGCAAACTTCTTTATGCTGACCTTTTAGCTTAACGTAACTTTATCCAGCCTGACGCAATGCTCGAACCGATTGATATTTATCAAATGTGGTGCACATAATCGACTTTTTGCATCCGTCATATGATAATCAATCTGCAAATTTATACCAAAATTTGAAATTAAGGGGCTATTTTAATTTGACAGAGTAGAGAATGACAATTAAAGCTTGAAGTTATTACAATATTTTCATAACCTTTACCAGTTTTTTCACATTAGGTTTTTGACTACAACCTTATCATAAGACGTGTATCAATGGATAACAAGTATCCCAGGCCAAATGCTTTAAAAACAACCTAGTTTCATCTTTTAACTTTCTTATCCTTGCTTCTGGGTGATTTCAGGTCTAACCACAGTTCCATTCATGGCCAAGATGGTTACAAGATGTCAACAGAATATAGGTAAACTTCGTCAAAATAAAAACATTGGTGCACAATATAGGTGACCATATGAATGGAATAATTAACGGTGAACCGTTTTATATGCAAAAACATTTAAAAATTTTCCATTTTCAGCACCAAAAGTAAAAACTTGAAATCAATACGTTCTCCTAACCCACTACCTTCTCTTTCTATTTCAGCGCAGTCTCTGAGGTGTAAGCAGCATTCACAAATAAGTAGCTGTGAACTCAATACAATACCGCGAATGCATCAGACATATCTATGAGTTTAGACACACAATTTAAATTGTATTGAGCTTCAAAGTATTTTGAATATTATATTTGCCTCTGTTAAGACACCTAAAGTGCTTTTCTTACTGAGCAAATGCATTGTATATCGAATATGTTTGATGAAGAATTATATAAACCACTTAAGAACAGCAACAGGGTGAAAACCTATTATCACTTCTATAACTGTAAAACAATATAAGCCAGTTTCACCATCACATGACCAGAAATAAGGAAGATTATTCCTCTTTAAATTAAAATCAACCTTTGTCTGTCATATATGATAATGTCAATACAACTAAACTATAAGTCGGTAAAAAAGGAAATGCTCACCAAAGAAGTCACTTTTATAAACCCTCTGACAACAATCAATTTACCATTCAAGTATAAAAACAAACTACAGTGGATCGAAAATTAGATATCTTATATAATGCTCAATTTAGAAAGCAGCGAATCCAGAAATTCTGAACATATCCTATACATTTTTGAACGAAAGCGATTTTTCATACTAATCAAAGTTACTTTTTGTGATTCCAGCCATGGATTTCAGATTCAGATTTGCAGTTGGTGGATAGAAGGCTGTGAGCAGACGTTTGTCTTCTCCCAGATAATCCCTCTACATTTTCAGTTTTTTTCTGAAAGGGCTCATTAATGACGTGAACACTTCTTTTAAGAGTAGGTGCTGAGAGTTGATTACACAACACGAAACCTAATACTATTTGGAGATGATGCACGTCCTTTACTCTCGTGCTATTATTCTCTCTTAAGTACTCCAACCTATCGGGAAATAAAAATGGGGATATAATACCGATTGTCTCGTTACGAGGTCGAACAAGCTTACTGATTTTTTCGCGCTCGCTTCCCGGTCTTGCGGAACGGTTCCAGGTCCTTGGTGGACCCCAGTGCCATAGATCTGCCCACCTGCCCGTCGCAGCTCTGATATTCGCGATGAGTGGCTGGATAAAGATTAAATGCGCTGGTAAATCATGTAAGTGCTCACTTATTAAAGCCACATATAGTATAATTAGATCCCGTCTCTCGTTACGATAGTGTGAAGAGAAAAGGTTCACCTTCTGAGGTCGTTTCTGGCAAGTCAGGATAGCTACCGAAGGGATCATACAAGTATCTGCCCTCCGAACTCTTTCCGGGAAGGCTTAAGCCACATTTTTGGAAAGAATTTGCAGTCAGTGCATAGTCCTCTAGTTTAGATCTAACTAAAGATATGTATTAGGTGGTAAACACATCTCCAATCATTTTAGCGAACGTTCTCTGCAATTCAGTGTCATGAAACTACTGACTACTACCCACTGGCAGTCCATTGTCATCTTCAACTCGTGACTTACTTCAACTTATTTTTTACTATGAGTCATGGTAGGAGTAGGGGAGTCCCATCAACATCATACCCACTGCCATTGGCATCCCCACATTCTGGTCGGATTACTATACAATTGTAGCGTCACACACTTCCCCAAAAGCAATAGCCTAAGGTTTGACGACTTTCGACATCGATGCTGACCTTGATAGTTTAACTGGACTCGCTAAGCTGAAGGCACCCGGTCAAGCATCCTGGCCATTTGGCACGCTGTCGTGTTACGTTGCATAGCTCGTATTCGACTCTCTAGCCAGTTAGTTGGAACGCATTGGTATCTCGGCACAACCATCCAAATACACTATTCCATCCGACTACGCTATCGTGTTCTTCCTTGGTCTCGTATTCGTGGGTATATAACAAGTTCGAATAATTAGTGATTGGTCTTTGCGTCTGTCAAGTTCGCACCAAGATACATCCTAAATAGGTGAGCCCGACGTGATCAAATATCCTGACGTGATCACATATCCCGACCAATAACAAGTATTGAATTGGTGAGCCTGTTCCATTTTATATTTGTTTGTTGTTTTCACTTCGATAACATTTGTATATCCATTTACTACACTTTCTCATGTCCGACCACACTCCCAAGCCTATTCGTATTAAGCCGACTTCGAACACGATCCAACTCGTGCCATATTGGCCAGACAATGCAGAAACATGGTTTCTGTATGCCGAGGCAGATTTTCGAGAACGGGGCGTCCCAGATCCTCATTCTCGGTTTCTTAAATAAATAAATATCTTTATTCTCAAGTCATGAAGTTGACATGAGAGAAGCCAGTTTGCAGGCCTCATCAAATTGATAATTGCAGAGGAACATCAAAAGGTTTTAGCAGTATTGAATAGCACAGAGGGAGGACATTGAAATCTATCATGATACCACGTGTCTAAGTGTTATGAAAGTAGCAGGAAAATATCACTTTACAGTACATACACATCGTTTTTGCCGTCATACATTCACTACCACGGGAATTAAACAAACATGTTACGGCACACATGTTTAATCCTGAAGTAAGTGATCCTTATGCACTTCTAAAGGCCGCACTCTTGAAGAAAAGCGATCTCACAGATCGCCAACGTCTAGACGAATTGCTTCGTAACATCGAGCTAGGCAGCCACTCAGCTACTGAAGTCCTCGCACGCATGCGAGAAGTAATCGGTGCACGAACATTCGACGATGGCCTTTTCCGAGAACTGTTTCTCTCGAGACTACCACAACCGGTGCAAACCGTGTTGGTGACACTGCAGTCAGTCCCGTTTGATGACCTGGCAGCCTCGGCAGATAAAATACTGGAGATATCCAGCAGACCCGTCTCCAACGTATATCCTGTCTGCGACAAAACAGAGCGCCAGGATTCAGAGGTGACCAAGTTGTGCAACTCTGTGAAACGGTTGCTACGATCTCGAAGCCCTAGTTCACTTAGAACTCCACAGAAACGCGTCTTAGTGCATCGCAGAAACTCGCGTAATTGCCCTAAAACTAGACCTAACAGAGTGGAAAACCCTGAATGGTGCTGGTTTCAAAATACTTACGGAGACGAAGCCAGAAAATGTCGTAAACCATGCCGTTTTAAGAAGGACATGAACTCGGGAAACGGTCACGCCAGCACGTATTCACGGCAACCCTAGCCAGTGTAAAAAGCCGTTTGCTCTACGTCACGGATATTAAAACGAAAGTCCACTACCTCGTCGACACCGGCGCAGAAGTTAGCGTTCATTCCGCACCGACAAAGGAGCGCAATTATGACCCATCCTTCAATCTTCAAGCAGCCAACGGAAAGGCAATCGCGACATCTGGGAGACGGTATGCCTACCTCAACTTAGGTTTACGCAAACCTATCCACTGGATTTCCTCCTTGCTGACGTCTCTATGCCCATCATTGGCATAGATTTGCTAAACCATTACGATCTACTCGTAGATGCTCGCCGTCGACGACTGATAGATAACAGCACAAAGTTATCTATTGGCGGCACCACCTATGTAGGTCCGAGTTTAGCCATCGTTAGGACTAAACAATCAGGCGACGCGTCCTACCAGGCAGTTCTGGAGAAATATCCAGAGTTACAGCAACCGAAGCACACTCTTCCGTGCATAACCAGCAATGTTATGCATCACGTCACAACCACAGGTCCACCTGTGGCATCCAAAGCTCGCCGTTTAGCCCCCGATAAGCTCAAACGGCGAAAAATGAATTCGACCACATGCTCGAACTGGGCATTATCAGACCGTCAAACAGTCCTTGGGCATCGCCATTGCACATGGTTCCCAAAAAGGATAGCAACGACTGGCGTCCAACCGGTGATTACCGAAGGCTTAACGCCAAAACAACTCCGGACTGCTACCCTATACCCACGTTTACGACTTGACCGCAACCTTATGCGGCATGAACATTTTCTCGAAAATCGACTTGGTCAAAGCGTACAACCAGATACCTATGGCAGCAGAAGATATCGCGAAAACAGCCATTATTACTCCTTTTGGCCTGTTTGAATTCCTGCGCATGCCATTTGGTCTTCGGAATGCAGCACAAACATTCCAACGCTTTATGGACGACGTCTTCCGTGGTCTGAATTTTGTTCATGTCTACATCGATGACTGTCTAATTGCGAGTCCAGATAAGGAAACTCACCTTAAACATTTGGACCTCGCATTCGAAAGACTCAAAAAACATGGCATCACAGTTAACTTACAGAAGTGTGAAATAGGAGTTGAATCACTCAGCTTCCTTGGGCATACCATTGACAACAAAGGTATACGCCCATTGAGAGATAAAGTGGCGGCTATCACAAACTATCCAGAGCCGACCACTGTGAAACATCTCCGCACTTTCAATGGCCTGGTAAGTTATTACCGAAGGTTTATCCCTAACTGTGCCTCTGTCATGAGACCACTCACAGATCTACTTCGAGGAACTGCGAAGTTCGTGTCTCTGGACAACGCGGCTAGACTTGCTTTCTCTAAAGTCAAGGAAGCCATTTCGAACGCAACCATGCTTATGCATCATGACCCCAATGCTCCTCTGAGTATTGCTGTTGATGCATCTGATTCAGCAATTGGAGCAGTTTTGCAACAGTTGACTGACAACCAGTGGCAACCGTTAGCCTTTTTCTCGAGGCGGCTGCAAGACGCGGAAACAAGATACAGTACATTTGGTAGGGAACTCCTAGCCATGTACTGTTCTGTACGCCATTTTCGACATTCTGTGGAAGGTCGTGATTTCATTATTTTCACAGACCACAAACCGTTAACGTTTTCCCTCAGCTCGGCGTCTGACAAATACTCCCCTCGTGAGTCGCGACAGCTGGATTACATTTCCCAGTTCACGTCAGACATCCGCCACATTTCTGGAGCAAACAACTCCGCAGCCGACGCACTATCTCGAATAGCTTCGATAAACTATATCGAGGGTATTGATCTCGTTGAACTAGCTCGGCGTCAAAAGGAAGACCTTGAGCTGCATCATGAGTTGTCGTCCACAACTCTCAAGCTACGACTTTGTCCTGTTGGATCAGACAAGGGTACAATTTTGTGCGATGTCTCTGCTAGTCAACCACGCCCAATAGTTCCGAAGAGTTGTCGACGCAACGTCTTCAATACGTTGCACAAACTCTCTCATCCAGGTGTACGAGCCACCATTAGGCTTATCGCACAACGTTTCTGCTGGCCTGGGATGAACAAAGACGTTAAGGAGTGGGCCAGTCGTGCTTAGCTTGTCAAAAGTGTAAAGTCACGCGACACACGAAAAGCCCTTTAGGCTCATTTCTAGCCCCAGACATGCGTTTCGACCACGTCCATATAGATATTGTAGGACCCCTACCAGAATCTAATGGATGTACCTACCTTTTCACTTGTGTTGATCGTTTCACACGATGGCCGGAAGCAGTACCCATTAAAGATATTACTGCCGAAACAGTTGCTCGTGTTTTCGTCGAAAGATGGATCGCGAACTTCGGATGTCCATCTTACGTCACAACCGACCGTGGGCGCCAATTTGAGTGTG